GAATCATTTGCTTTAGGCCCAAAATATTTGAAGCTCAAAAGTTATTAAAATATTTATTTGGGATAAGACACAAGTACCCTCCTAGACTATGATCGAAATTTCAGAGACACTATAACTAAATTAAGGTCCTATTACTCCCCTTAACTCATTTCTTTTGTAATTTTTTACACCTTTTGGTGTGCGTGGGAGATATTTGGAGACCATGTATGCTAAAAAGGTGTACAAAATTACAAAAGAAATAAGTTCAGGAGGTAATAGGACCTTAGTTTAGTTATGATGTGTCTCTGGAATTTCGGTCATAGTCTAAGGGGGTACTTGTGCCTTATCCCTATTTATTTAATTATTTCTTATCATTTGTAGAAGTAGTACATTATTTTTTCATTTAATAAATTTCTATGCTCTCTTTTTATCAATTTGTACGATCTAATTATTGATCTAGACTCCGAACTTAGTTAAAGTAAAATAGAAGATTATATTATCCGCCACGAAATGATTCTATAATGAAATTCCCATTGGTCTTTAGTTCATAGATGACAAACTACCTATTTTTGATAGGCTGTACACATTTTGAAAGGGAACTATGTTTGGCAGAATGCAAACAGTCAAAAAACTCACACGATATACTGAATAAAAGAACAAAGCTGACTTTATGCCCTAGGGAATAATGTCATCGACTGATAGAAAATGAAGAACCATTTATACAGATGAAAAATAGAGTGATGGCAAGATAGATACAGAAACACCCCAAAAATTTCTAAGCTAAGATCGGAACCGTTCATCATTTACGTATAAAGTTGTATTGGGTGATTCTTAAATCATGCTTAGGTTTTAAGGTTAATTCTTTAGTAAGGGAATAGATTTGGAGATGAATTAAGGTCATCAGAATCCCCTAGCACAAAATGTTGGGATATATACTAAGATATAATATTTATTATAGAAAAAATATTTATTCAATTTTAATAGATCATATATTCATTTATGGTGTCTATTTACTTATATAATAGATGATTTAGTGTGTAGAGTTTTAACTTATACACAGAGGATTAAATCATCGGTTCTTATAAGTATAAAGGTTTTTGTTCACAATCTAGGATGGAAATTGGACATGCCATCGGTACGATTGTAGCACAAGTTTATATGTAATTTATCTTGATTATGGGAACGGTATAGTTCCAACTTCTTGTGCTAGTGCATTTTGTATGTATTGAACGGGACCAAGTAGAGATAGTTGTTTTAGACTGACTGACAAAAACATATTCTCTAAACTATTAAATGTACTTATATTCTCAATCCTGATATAACTATTATGATCTGTATATATTAATTATCGTTTTGATTTATTAAATTTTATTAAAAGGTGAGATTCTGAGATGGGTCAATATGCTTGGTAGATTGGATGATAATAATATATATTGGTGAAATAATAAGTTAGTTGATGGAATCTATGTCTCGTTATAGAGATTGATTGATATGCCTTTTTGAGAAACTTATAAGTTTCATCGTGTCAAACCTTGCAAGTGGATTTATGAATCCGACACACGAAATAAGTTAAGCAGTGCTCTAAATGAAATTAATCATTAAATTAAATTCGTCAGTAATTTAAGTTATTGATTAGTATCTATAATATTAACATGGGGAATTACATAAGTGTTTAATGGGGAATTACGAAATATAAATAGAAGAGTGCAATTACGAATTTCTAGTGGAATGATTTGTAATTTTATTATGGTAAGAATAATTTAAATTAATTATTTGGAATTATTTCCATAATAGGAAGCCTCAGTAATTAATTTTGTGGTCCCTATAGTGCCCATATTTAACTAGGACTCAGAATCCTATTTCTCAGGGAAAAAAGGAGTAGGCGTGTGTTTTCTTGTTTTTCAAAAAAATTGGATTTTCTTCTCCTTTTTGGATTGGGAAGAAATCTCTATAAATAGAGATTCTCCTAACCTAGAAAAAGATGGATTAATTTTCTATTCGATACTTGCCCACCCAAGTATTGAGAGAGTTCAAATGTGAACTTGGGATCATTGTAGAAGACTATAGTTGTTGTCTATCTTGTGGATTCGCTTGAAGGTCCGCTTAACTTGGGGATTCGCTTGAAGGTATCTGCTCACGCTTCAAAAGGTATTTATCGAATTAAATTCAACAAGTTTATGTGTTCTAGCATGATTATGTGTTTTAGCATAAACGATTTGGTTATCTATTATTCATGTAAGCAGTAAGATCCTGATATGCTTACGCTGTGCATATATGTTTTCCAACACAAAGATGAGTAGAAAGCTTCCTTACCGATTAAGTTTTGATATGAGATTCTACTTAAGTCAAATCCAAACAATCATATCTCTCAGTATGTAATGAATTAGGTGTCCTTTAAACTATTAAATTAAAGGTCCATGAGTCTTTATTTTCCACTCTGCCAAGCTTGCCTCATTTCGAGTTCAGAGTAAATCGTTATGACCATTTTACCAGAGACTACCACAACCGAGTTTTCAGAGTTAGTGAACTACGAACCTTATCTACGAGTCATAGGAAGAGTTATGACATGTACTGTTGACTCGTGGAAAAAGTTCTAGAAGTCAAACTTTTGGGTTCAATTCTTACGGACCCATCTACGGGTCCAAGTAGGGCACGTAGAATAAATTTCTGAGCCTTAAAATTTCAGTATGAATTCCACAGATAGGAATCTATGGTCTGTAGATCAAACCACGAACCGTAGATGACCCCATGGAAGGTTTTTGATAGATTTTTAATTGTGTTTTTATTTTTCTTTTCCAACTTTTTCTAAGTCCAAACCATGACATTTTAACTTAAATTTGAGGAATATAGTCCACCAAGTACTCTATTTTCTTTTATTTCTACACTCTCAACTCCCTAACTCAAAAAGAAAACCACAAGGATTTCCACTATTCACTACTGACTAAATTAAAATAGTCTTCCTGACAGCAGGTCTTATTTTTGTCTTAAGTGTGACGGTCTGACTGACTTGTCGTCATTATTTTATTAGTGACCCAAATTTTTGGGCTTATTAACGGTGCTTCTTAAGATCCATCACATGTGTGACGGTTCGTCAAAGGCATCCTCATAAGGCATTGTCAGTCGTTTTCTGAAATTATTGTTAATGATTCACTATGTTATTAAGGTTACAAATTCAAATGAGTCGTAAATCTCATAACATAGTGAAATGTCAGTGATATTTGAACACATTGAGTGTTACTCATTCTTTACCCTTGCCATACACTTGATGACACTATCGGGTGCTCAGACTTCTCAAAGGGATCCCTTAAGAATGTTGTCACCCAATCTATCAAGAATTTACCTGCTAAAGTGAGTTTGCAATGCTGGGCCATTACACCTTGTACGCCATTATGAGTGGTGATTCTAGCCTTGACTTCATATTTGCCATTGGAGTTAGGGCTCTAAGTGGAAGTAAGAGTGACAACAGTTCCATAAGACAATTTCTGTGGATAACTCTGTTCCTTTGTTAGTTAAGGTTAGTTGATCCAAACAACAAATAATTTGGCGGTCCAAAGTCACCATGGGTAGGCGCAGATTCCACAGTGGTACGAATGTAGGAAACTGACCCAATTGTGTCCATCACTAGTAAGAGAGTGAATACAGATGTTGCATGGTGCAATTGATGAACCTGGAGGCGTCCACCAGATGTTACAATAAACAAATTTGCACCATGATCATACAAAAAATGATTTAAAATACATTGATCACTGGTCGTGGAATCAAAATGACAGACAAATATTTTAATGATCTCCTTGAATTCATCAATAACCATGACATAATAACATCTTGCAAAGCCAAGAAATGTTGTAAGCATATTTACTAGAACCAGGATCAACTGGAAATTCTAATTTGAATCAAGCAGGTGGAAATCGATTCAAGGATAATGGAAGTTTAGTAGGATCGAGTTCACTTAAATAAGCAAATATACCATTGCTGGAACTACAAGTTGAGATCATACAAGGGAGTGCAAACAACATTTCATCAAACTTGACAAAGTTACTGGAATCATACCTAACTGTGGAAATTGTTTGAAACCTTTCGTCGAACACCTGAGTTTCAGATTTTACTACATCATTCTTCACTGAATTAGTAACTTCTATGTCAATATCCCTATCAGGTATTTCAGTGAACACCTTGTACGATACAAACTATATACCAAATCTTGATAATTCAAAATTCAAATTAATGCATATCTATAACTAACTACCAAGTACGCTATTACCAACCAACTAAACTACTAAAATTCTCCGCTTCCCTTTTTATTTATTAAAGGAATAATACTAGCTTGTCATATATCTTTTATGAAGTGTGTAAAAATAAAGTAGCTCTTTCTTTGTGACACAACCATCTATTACAGAATTGATCAATTTGAACAACAACGATACTAAACCATCTAATAAATAGAGAGGCTTACCTTCAGGTTTTGCTTCAAGTTTCTCAAATTCATCTACATATTTTCTTACAAACAAATATCGAGTATTTGTGTGATTTGTTTATGAGTTTGAGTTCAATGAAGTTATTGGCGTTTGAGGTACATCTACATCAATAACATGTTTATTCATTTTATCCTACGATGAAGTAATCTAAAACCCTCGAGTATAGTAAGGAGATTAAATTTCTTAAGAACACACAATGAATTCAGTGGTCTCAAATATTTCTTCTTTTTGTTATCAGTTTGTTTCAAAATATGGTTTCCTGTTTTGAATACAGAGTAACAACAAAGTTTTTATATAAAAATATTTGTGTTAATTATGATAATGATGTTGAGCTAATAATTTTTTTTTAAAATGGTTCAAATGTTAGTTAATTAATATGATCGACATGCAGCCAAAGTCAATAAATACTGGATGAATCGTTGATACTCAATTTGATGCATTAATTCAAGCATTACTTTATTTCTTTATTATACGCATTCACATTATTGGCAAGTCAAAGAGCCACAATCAAGAACACATAATGAACAATATAATATATCAAAACAAACAAGGAAACTTCAATAATGCAAAACCACAACATGGTATTCAACTATTGCATTTTGTGTGGTGTTATCAACTTGGTAGGTTTTCGCGGTGGCGATGCCTTTTGCTAGCCTGAAAACACCGGAACCACCAACAATTGGCATTTCTCGATACTCGTGAAATATTTGATTGTGTCCAAGGATACTAAGCGTGCTACCATTGTACTTACCATTTGTGAACACAAGGTTGAGAGTCATAAGAAGGCCTATATCTTCGAACGATGCTGAGCCATAAATTCCTTGGGCTCGGCCTATTATTTTGGAGTTGGGCTCGGGGTTAACCGTCAACGGATTGTCCATCATCCTCACTAAGCCAAAAAATGTTGGTGATTGAAATGTATTATTGGCTTGTGCTATTTGGATTGCTGATGGATTCTTTGCAGTCACAATGTCATGAAAGTAGAAGTGAAGTTTGGTCATTTTTGCTTTTGCATGGGGAAGCTTGTTGAACCATTTGTCCACTCCTTTAGGACTTTGATCAAGACCATGAGTTGAAGGCAATATTATTGTTATTGCCAAAAACAAGAAAGCCATCAACAAAAATTTCTCCATTTTCTTTCAAATGAACTTGGTTGTTAGAATCAAATAATATATAGATATGGAAACAAATAAATATTAGGATAGTTTTGAGAAAATGTGAGAGAGGGAGGGGAAAAAAAGATTCTACTAATGTTTATGTAATTAGTTTGAGGTTCATGCACTAACCAATTATTTGGATTATAAAATTTTTGCATGTTGTAGCATAAAACTCGTGAACAGCTCAGCAATGACCAAATAAGAAAAAACAACCCGGAATTTTTGGGATTGAGTTTGAGGATGTTAATGCTGAGGATTGTATCTGGCTTTATAATTGGTAAAATATTATACTCCCTCCATTTTGAATTATTTATCAACCTTTCCCTTTTAATATGTTTTAAAAAGAATATTTCTTTTCTTTTGATAATCTATGATACAGGTTGCTTTACATTTATATCTATGATATATTGGCACAATCGAAGAAAAAAAGGAATTTCAGAAGCGAAAAAAGAGTTTGATATATTCTAAGATTTTTTGTTATATAGTCTATATCTGTGTGACATGTTGCTTTACAAGTGATCTGTATCTATAATAAAATTTGAATTTCTCAAGAACAACAAAAGAATAATAACAAAGCACAACAATTAATGAACAATGGCCTAAAAATACCTGAATTATACTCAAATCCTAAACTCGGGCCATTTCCATGATCACCCCACCCAAATAAGGATTTTTTTACCTTTAATTCATGTCAAAACCCTACCCTAAGATAACCACAATAGATTCTAAGTCTGAAGAATCGAACTACAAGTTAGGGGAGTAATTAACTTACCTTTACTGAAGAGATTGGTGGAAAATTGAAGAAAATGCCCAGGTTGCCCTTTTAGAATTTTTCATGCATTAATTCATGATGGACCGCGCTATAGCGCCTCCGCCATTGTGGATCACCTAATATAGCGAGAATTAATTCCCCCACTATAGCGGCGTGATTGCACGAAAAAAAAACTCAAAATTCTCCCAAAAAGTCCTCATTTTGCAACACACCTTCAAATCTTGACATTCTAAATTATTCACGCCAAGTGCGATATCGGGAGTTCTACTCACCCGAATTTAATTTTGAAAAGCCTTACAATTTCTTAATGTCTTAGCTAATAGAAAGTCCAATCCAAGTGTTTGCAACAAATTTTAAAGTGACGGAAAATAAATTACAATCACAAAAAAAATGAAGAAACATAATTTTATTCATCAAGATTACGGGTACAATTCTATTCCTCCCTTGATTCTACTCTCCTGAGATTTATCCATGATTCGAGGGCAGTTACTGGCGTATTTCTCGAACTAGGATGATTTACATTTGACCTCTATATGAATATTCCATGACTTTTGTGGAATATTCGAGATCTTGATCTTTAAAAGTATCCTAGAGTTTATGGGATATTTTGAGATGCCTTTTAAGGGAATTTAGTACCCTTTATATAGGCATGAACTAGGGTTTAGGGTTGAGTAGCCTCCAATGAATTTAATTGTAACTGAACACACCTTCTAGAGTCCCAATTCGAATTGAACACGTCTTGTAAAGTCCCACAAAATTTCAATGTCTACAAATGCCCCCTGCTTCAAGGCTTGTCGGAGTGTAGACTCGATGAAACTCAAAGACGAGGCTTGAAGTGCTCATTCTTCCACCTTTGCAGCTTCAGATTTCAGATTTGATTTATGAGAGAAGAGATGAACGGTAGATTTTGTCCCATTGGGCGTGCCAATTTGTTTGTAACAAATTTTAAAGCGACAAAAAATAAATTACAATCACAAAAAAAATAAATGAAGAAACATAATTTTATTCATCAAGATTGTAGGTACAATTCTATTCCTCCCTTAATTCTACTCACCTAAGATTTATCCATGATTCGAGGGCCTTAGTGGCGTAGTTCTCGAACTAGGATGATTTAGATTTGACCTCTGTTTAAATATTCCATGACTTTTGTGGAATATTCGAGATCTTGATCTTTAAAAATACCCAAGAGTTTATGGGATATTTGAGATGCCTTTTAAGGGAATTTAGGACCCTTTACGTGAACTAGAGTTTAGGGTTGAGTAGCCTCCAAGAATCCTAATTGAATTGAACACAATTTTTAGAGTCCCAACTTGTTGAGTCCCACAAAATTTCAATGTCTACAAATGCCCCCTGCTTCAAGGCTTGTCGGAGTGTAGACTTGATGAAACTCAAAGACGAGGCTTGAAGTACTCTCTAAGATTTATCCATGATTCGAGGGTCAGTAGTGCCGTATTTCTCGAACTAGGATGATTTAGATTTGATCTCTATATGAATATTCCATGACTTTTATTGTATATTCGAGATCTTGAAAATACCCAAGAGTTTATGGGATATTTTGAGATTTTGATCTCTTTATGGAATTTTCGAGATGCCTTTTAAGGAAATTTAGTACTCTTTATATAGGCATGAAGTAGGGTTTAGGGTTTAGCCTTCAAGAATCCTAATTGGAATTGAACACACATTCTAGAGTTCCAATTCGAATTAAACACGTCTTGTAGAGTCCCACAAAATTTCAATGTCTACAAATGCCCCTGCTTCAAGGCTTGTCGGAGTGTAGACTCAATGAAACTCAAAGACGAGGCTTGAAGTACTCATTCTTCCACCTTTGCAGCTTCAGATTTTCAGATTTGATTTATGAGAGAAGAGATAAAGGGCAGATTTGGTCCCACTGGGCGTGCCAATTTGTTTGCAACAAATTTTAAAGCGACAAAAAATATATTACAATCACAAAAAAAATATGAAGAAACATAATTTTATTCATCAAGATTGTGGGTACAATTCTAGTCCTCCCTTAATTCTACTCACCTAAGATTTATCCATGATTCGAGGGCCGTTAGTGGCGTCTCGAATTAGGATGATTTAGATTTGACATCTATTTAAATATTCCATGACTTTTGTGGAATATTCAAGATCTTGATTTTAAAAATACCCAAGAGTTTATGGGATATTTGAAATGCCTTTTAAAGGAATTTAGGACCCTTTACGTGAACTAGAGTTTAGGGTTGAGTAGCCTCCAAGAATCCTAATTGAGTTGAACACAATTTTTAGAGTCCCAACTTGTTGAGTCCCACAAAATTTCAATGTCTACACCAAGCTTAGACATTTTACCCAATCCATTCTTTGATTGCCCTAAGGATTTTCAAGTTCCTACCCAAAAGTTTTTTGAACCACTTCTATCACCATTGGTCTATCCATAGCAACCAGAAAGGGTCGTTACAATGGTAGTTCACTATAGTGAAGCCAGAATGGTTGCCTAGATTCGCCATGGCAAAGTTTCATTCGCTATAGTAGACTTTGCCATAGCGAAAATGTTTCCGCTATAACGAAGCTAGCCAGTCGCTAAGGTTCACCATGACAAGGCTCCTTTCGTCATAGCAATGTTTACTACATCAAAAGGGTCTGGTAGTTTGGATTTTTATTCAAATATTAGATAGCTTGTACGTGTGACTTTCAAGTTTTAGGAATAGTTTTGTTGATATTTCTACATTTTATTTCGAGATTTTATGAAAGAATGATGCAATGACTTGTATGATTTTCAATTGTTATTTTCCGTGTAGTTTTTCATAAATTTAGGTGATTTTTTGGGTTGGCTTACCTATCGGTGGACTTGATATGTCACATCCTCGAAATTTGGGTCGTGACAAGTTTAAGGATTGACCAATTCCTTAGTTCATTTATTTATGTATAAATATTTACAAGTGATAATTGTACATTGATCACTGTTGATGAAATAAGATCTGTCTTCTCATTTCCCTTCTAAAACATGTTATTTAAATTCTCAGATTTTATGTGTTGGATGTCATTTTGTTCGCCTAAGCTCCTAGATTAAGGACTCAAAAGATTCTTAATTAAGACTAGATCGATTTCATTTCATCGTTAACATAGTTTTGCTCTTTCTTGATTTATGGTTTATTATTTATTTTATAATCTTTCAATTTTATCACTTGAATAAATAATTAACAAGAATTTAATTTAAATTAATAGTTAGTCATTACGCTTGTGTGTGTGTTTTGAAGTAATTAACAAGTATCTCTCTAGCCACAGTCAAAGAAACTAATCATATTCATAGAGGTCCCGGGTTCAGAGCACTCGAATTTGTAGTCATGCTAATAGGCCCTCCTATCTCTAGAATCAAGAGATTGAATATCAGGCAACAATTGAACATGATAAGGCCAAATTCAACTATTTCTGAAAGATTCGCGATCCTCCACCAATCGTTTTCCGACACACTGACGCTGTCAACTATCAACGTAACACCAGACCTCAAGCTCATTTTGTTCATTTAATTACTTTGTTATTGCAATTCAATACCATATTTATTGTTCCTTCTACTTAATTTGTTCACTTTAATTAAGCCAATTATAAATGTACAAATCACGTATTTTGGTCATATCAATTCGAGTGTTCTTGAGCCATGTTTATAAATTCAATTATCACATTTTAAGAGTAAACAATATATGAAGAGTTGTTACTCGTTTCTAAAGTGAAAAGTAAATTCAAATTAAAGGTAACTAGAATCCTTGAATTTAATCAAATTGACATCTACACTTGGCCTGAATAAACTTATCGAACAAAGGTAATGTTTCGTCACCATTGACTTAGACCCACTAACACACCAAAAATATATAATGAATTAATGATAAATAAAGTCCGGATCCGATTCCCCTCCACTATCCCTCCCCTCTATTTCGTCAAGTGCACCTCTAGATGATAGACATGTGTCTTATTCAAAGTTTAAATGCCAAAATTATAGTATATTAATAAATATCATGTCATGCCCCGAGCTACCCCCGAGACGCGGACACGGGACCTAGGACCACAAGTGATCCCAAGCTAACCTTGCTGGCATGATCATGAGCATACTAAAGATAATAAACTGATGCGGAAGCTATTTCATAAATAAAACTGAAAAGATGGGGAATACCCATATATTAAAACTGAATATATCAAATCTGAGAGTTTAATACAAAAGAAATATCAAACT